GGAAAGTTAGCTTAGTGCTGCTGCATAACACAGCAGACTCAGAGTGGTCCCAGCTTGTCTTCCTGCTCCTCAACAGCATGTTGTTGTCTCCTGACATTGTGAAGATGGAGCATCATTGTGTTGGGTTTTTCCCCCCCACCTGTAATTTCTTTCCTGCTCCTGAATTTCCTTGGTAACCCACAGTCTGGGAAGGTCTATTCCACTTGGCAAAGCTGGCAAGGTCCCGTGCAAGAAGGGATGTGGGTTGGGAAGGTTTTGAGGAAATGCTGAAGGTTGCAAATAAGTGAGGCAACCTTGTTGTGGGCTCAGAACTTGAAGCTGAAAAGCAGGTGCGTGATGCGGGCAAGGAATATGGTCGTAACGAAGAAGGAGAGAATGAACTGGTATCTGAGGAATATTGCCCCTGAAGGTTGCAAATAAGTGAGGCAACCCTGTTGTGGGCTCAGAACTTGAAGCTAAAAAGCAGATGCGTGATGCGGGCAAGGAATCGTAACGAAGAAGGAGAGAATGAATTGGTATCTGAGGAATATTGCCGGATATTCTGCATGGCAGATGCTCAGTGCATGGGTGGAGGAAACAGAGGTTGGGAGTTAGCTGGCTAGTCTCTGTGGTCTATACACACATACTCAACCTAAACCCCAGGAACTCTATGTAACCACCACTAGGGGGAATTTGGAGCTGGGACCTCTAGAACTTAGTATAGGAGTCTCTACCCTTTGAGCTAAATGCCAGCTGGCTCTGAACCCATGCTGCAGAGGTCTCTTGAATTTAGCTGTTGCTGTGGCCTAGGTGCAGTGAACCACACAAGGTAGAATTTAGCTGTTGCTGTGGCCTAGGTGCCACTGCAGTGAACCACACAAGGTGTGTGGGCTACATCTATACTCTGCACTGGTCTTCCCACTTAAAAGGCAAAAAGGCAGACGGCAATATACATCTAAAAGGTTAAACAGGTGTGTGATAGACAATGATCATTATTGCTTGGCTCTTGTGCTACAGGGAGAGCTGCAACAATGTCACATCCCACTGTGACAACAGCAATAACCCGAGGCAATTCTGGGAAGAAATCAGTCACAACACAGGACCACCAATTAATGCCTGCGGGACATTTATAAACAAATCAGCAGCGAAAGAAATATTTTTTTGCCACACAGATGAGATTTCTTTAAACCAGGTTTGAATGATTGGTTTCCTGGTGGATTTTAACTTTGTTCTTAACTGTTGTGTTTCCTGAAGTGGGGAAAAAAGGAATAATGCTTCTAAATAAATGATCAAGACTTGATGTACTGCCAAGCATCTCTACTAAAGGCTAGAAAAATGGTCATTACAATTAAAACTAACGTGAGACTGTGTGTATGTTTTTCTTCATGTTGTAACAGTGTTTCTTTGGGGATGCCTTTTTCTTAAAAACTAACTAACAAAAGGATTGATAATTAGTAGGGCAATAACTGTAGCCATAATAAAGATGGATTGCTAGACTGAATGGTTCCCTACTTCCTTAATAATGATTGCATGATTGGCTGCTAGTGCCATTTGCACGGCTCAAATGAATACACAGATGTTCCTGAAGCTTTTGTTCCCAACTTCCCAAGCCTTTTAACCCCTTCAACATTGAACAAATAAGATAACAACCTGGTAGCATTTGTTTACATGCTAAACTGAATGAAGTGTCTGCTGACTGAATGCAAACAGGAACATGACTGTATCTGGTCAAGCTAGAAATTAAAATCTCTAGCTGTCAGTTTTTGTAATGTATTTATAAAAGCTAATGGTTAAATGCCATTCCAGGCCAGCTGTCTCAGATTTACTGAGCACAATGAACCCACAAAGAAACTGGGTGTACATTTTGTATCTCAATCTCCCATTAAGCGCGGCCCCAACTTACGAACAGCGTTCTGCGCTTACGAACAGCACAGTCCCATTGAAATGAATGGGGTCTGACTTACGAACACATCGAGTTACGACCAAGTGCTTGGTACGTAACTCGTTCGTAAGTCGGGGACTATATGTCTTAGCAAGAGTGTTGTAAGCAGAACACCAGAAGCAATATTTCTGCAGATTAGGCTACAATTGGAGTATTGCGTTCAGTTCTGGGTGCTATACTTTAGATGTGGACGAATCAGAGAGAGTCCAGAGAAGAGCGATAAAAGTGACTAAAGTTCTAGAAAACATGACCTATGAAAGAAAATTGAAAAAACTGAGTTTGTTTAGTCTGGAAAAGAGAAGACTGAGGGGGGACATTGTAACAGTTTTTGCATACATAAATGTTTGTTACAAGGAGAAGGGAGAAAAATTGTACTCTCTAACCTCTGAGAATAGGAAAAGAAACAGTTATCTTAAAATGCAGCAAGGGCAGTTTAGGCTGGACATTAGGGAAAACTTCCTAACTGTCAGGTTGCCTATGGAGGATGTGGAATCTCCATCACTGTAGATATGTAAGAGCAAGATAGACAAACACTTGTCAAGGATGGCCTATACTTAATCCTGGTGTAGTGACTGGGCCAGAGGTCTCTTGAGGTCCCTTCAATTCTATGATTTTCAAGAGTCTGGTGTAGTGACTGGGCCAGAGGTCTCCTGAGGTCCCTTCCAGTCAGATAATTCTATGATTTTCAAGAGCAGCTTCTGAAATTATCCTAAAATGCATGTCAAGTAACCTGTAGGTGCAATTTGGTAGGACTTTTTTTTAGCATTTGGTCTGACTTAAATTTGTATAAAGCTAGGCAAGTCTGAAATACAATCCGCAACTCACTCGTCCCTGCTGAGATATGAAAGTATATACTGTAAGGTTATATACGATGCTGTATTTACAAAATCTCAGTAGAATAGTCCAAGTTTCATCCTTGAGTCTGTATTTCCTGGCTTCTCTTACGTGTTAGTTAGTTGTCCATTTGGTTGGTTGCTTTTAAGTCAGACCTTTAGGGCTTTGATATGTTTTGAGCTGCACCCATGTAAATATAGAATAATTCCTCTGAAATCAAGAGCAAGACTGCAAATTTACACTGTCATCAAGAAGAGCAGAATTTAGCCTTGTGCTGCCTCCCCACTCCTACACAGTAATGTGGCAGATTTGCTGCATCTGTACAGCTCCTCAGACATCAGCCCTACTATTGAAGTGACAGCTTCCACAGATCAGGAATTCTTTGTAATACTGCAGCATTCTACCTACGCGGATTCTTCGGTACACCAGTAAGGCCCAGTCTACATTACAGACAATGGGCCTGAAAAATACCACCATAAAAAACAAAGCTGCTTTTCTATTGAGAACACTCGAATTCTCCCCAAGATCATACATTTCTATAGATTAGAATAATAACTTTTAAGGAGCCAACCTGATTTTTTTTTTCTTTTCCATTTTGCAGAAACAAGGCTGCTCTTGAGCAGAACAGGAAAAGTTTTAGGATAAAACACATTTTACAACCAAGGTATAAAACTCTGAACTATGGGTATCTAATGGAAATACTGACAGTTCATTAATTATACAACAGCAGTAGTAGGTGCTGCAGAAAGCACTCTAATACACATAACAAATCCAAGTTAACAACCACTTGACCTATTTAGATTGGGCTTCTACCTGGAATTATTGAGCTTGGATTATTACTCACCGGTATTTTGTAGAACTAAGGCATGTCCATTAAATCAGTAATGTTAAAAAGATCATAAATCAATTACATGAGCCAGATTTTTACTACATATTGTATCACAACTTTCTCGTTTAATGTAATGATGCTAACATAAAAGGTAACAAACAAAATTCCCAAACGCAAATGTGCTCAAACAAAAAATGCGTAATTGTTGTGTAATATAAATTAAAAACATTCTAAAATGACAAATTCACATTTTTTTCCCATGGAGATAAATCAAAAGGCCAAAACTATAAAAAAATGAGCATCAGAAATTAGGCTCTTAAATCTTTATGTGGCATTATCAGGGAAATGATCTGCTCTTGCACTCTTGAGTGTTTTGAAGCCCCACTGACTTTAGTATATAAATAACATAGTTCAGGTCCTCAGTTTAATTATGTGATGGCAGCTTCTGGATGCTCAGAATTTCTGAGAACTGGGTTGCACCATCACAGAACACAGATGCTGAAGGAAGTTAGTTGGACAGATCTTGGCGCCTCAAGAAGAAAGGGGCAGCAGGCCAGGAGACTCATGAGTGACTCTGGACCTCTCTATTTCTCTCAAACCAGAGAGCAAATTTAGTGTGGCGTTTGATCGCATAAAGCTTTTGGTTCAATCAGTTTCAGGACTGCAGGGGGATGGGTGGTTCAGGTGCAGGGAGGTTCTTACTGCGTTGATTTTACCATTCTAGTTCACCTACTCATTGCAATGAAATGTCATCTTGAACACTAGATCATGAACCATTTCTTCCCCAAATTAAAGGCCTCTTCCAGAGCCTGTTGAAGTTAATGGGGACCTTTCAATGGCTTCATTAGGCTTTGGATCAGGCACTGACTGAACCAGGTTCAGTATTAGTAAGAATAAGGAGATAACATCTCCGTGGAGCAGGATAAAAATCACTTTTCAGAAACAATAAGGTTACGTCTACATTGCCCAGTCTTGTGCAAAAACATATGCAAATGAGGTGTGGTGATGAATATCGCCGCACCTCATTTGCAAACTTAATGAGATGCCATTTATGCGCAAGGGGCTTTTGCACAAGAAGGAACTGTCTATACTGTTCCTTCCTGTGCAAAATCCCTCTCTTGTGCAAGAGTCGCTCTGCTGCTTATTTTCAGAAGGAACAGTGTAGACTGCTCCTTCTTGTGCAAAAGCCCCTTGTGCAAAAATGGCAGCTCATTAAGTATGCAAATGAGGTGTGGTGATATCCATCACCACACCTCATTTGCATACGCTCTTGCGCAAGACTGGGCAATGTAGACATAGCCTAAGAGTGTAAGATCACTGGTACCCAAGTGGTTAGTGCATCCATCCCACGTGACTGCAAATATATTGTCTATTCATTGTTGTGAAGTAAGAAATCAGAGCTTTCCCATACTATACCTGTGAGGTAGGTGTTGTGTGAGGAATTGATGAAATAGTGAGACAACGGCTGAGACATATCTTCATTCAAATCCAGTTTCTCAGGTGGAACGACGCCATTCTCCTCTCCACTCAGGTATCGCATAAATCCGTCCACTGATATCTGTCCTGGGAAAGCACAGATTTGGTGGAATCACACCCATACTGCATCAGACCAACAGTCCACCCAGCCCAGTATCCTGTCTGCTGACAGCGGCCAATACCAGATACCCCAGAGGGAGGGAACACAACAGGTGATCCTCACGTGATCCCTCTCCAGTCACCCATTTCCAGATAAGCAGAGGCTAGGGACACCATTTCTACCCATCCTGGCTAATAGCCATTGATGGACCTAATCTCCATGAATCTATCTAGCTCTTTTTTTAACTCTGTTAAAGTTCTAGCCTTCACCGCATCCTCTGGCAAGGCGTTCCACAGGTTAACTGTGCTCTGAGTGAAGAAAAACTTCTTTTTGTTTTTTTGTTTGTTTTAAACCTGCCACCTATTAATTTCATTCGGTGACCGTCTGGTTCTTATATTGTGGGAATAAGTAAATAACTTTTCCTTATTCACTTTTTCCACACCAGTCATGATTTTATAGACCTCTGTCATATCCCCTCTTAGTCTCCTCTTTTCTAAGCTCAACAGTCCGAGTCGTTTTAGTCTCTCTCTTCATATGGGACACATTCCAAACTCCTAATAATTTTTGTTGTCCTTTTCTGAACCTTTTCCGATGCCAATATATCTTTTTTGAGATGAGGCAACCATATCTGCACACAGTATTCAAGATGTGAGAGTACCATGGTTTCTAAGCATAGTATCGTCGGGATACACGTATTTTCCATTCAATGCATATTGAGAATGTGGCATATGAGAAAGGCCATATGATGATCACATTAGTCTAGTTATGAATACGGACTAGATTTATACTATTTATTGTTTGGTTTTAGTATTATTATCCCTAAATGCTCAGAATTGCATGGAGTGATCTACACACATGACCTCAGTTGATGTCAAAGGGATTAGATTGCCTAATCCATTATTGATTTGGAAATTAGGAGGATAGTCTAGTATAGAGAGACTGTCCTGCCATGCTTTTGATCTCATTCCATTCACTGCAATGAGATCCAAACATCAGAACTCCCCGTGTGTCCCCTACACAAGATGTCATAAATAGTGCTACTTTGCCATTTCTTTGGGTTTGTTCATTGACTCATTTCCCCCACCCTCCATATCCTCCAGAGAGAGTCAAATCCAGGGGCCCTAGCTCAGTTTGCTTTCAATTCCTTACATTGACTGGGAATTTGTCCAAATAAGGATAGAGTAAAAACCACTTCTGGAGGAATGAATTTACCAGGAATCTGAGGTGCAGAAGACCACAGATACAAAGCAATCAAAAGGAATTGGTATATTCTCTTTTATCGATATTTTTCCAGTATGTATATTTGAACTCAGACTAATTAACCCTCTTAGCAAGTGGGAGTTAGTGTTCTGTTTCATAATTATTTCACTTAGGTTCTAATTTTTAATTCCAAGCACAAATGACATTTGAACACTCCTTTAAAATTACAGGACCAATTTCAGCCAGGACAGAAATGAGATCTACACCACAGACTTAGGTAAAGTTATGCCTATTTACACAGAGCTATCGACCAATAGCCTTTGACTTACTCTGTATCTGACACACATATCGGTACTGGGCCAAGCCATAATATTCCCTCTCAATGTCCCCACTCCTCGTTTTATTATTTTAGTTTTCTAGTTTTCCTTCACAGATTGATGGATTGTAGCAACCCAAAAGCTACAGGCTGCTCCCATAGTGCATTATACAGTTTTTCCTTGTACATGAACATAAAAAATTCCAAGCTGGAAGAAGATGTATTTTAATGGGCCTCTCCAAAGTATCCTGTACGATATTTCTAATGGCAGTAGCTAGAAGGTGTGGACGATCTGGGGTTCTGCTCCTAATTCTGCCACTGTCTAAGTGTACGTCCACAGTACGCAGCTTTTAGCAACTGGGCTGTGTTGACACAGCCCTGCTGCTAAAAGTCGGTGTGTGAAACTCTGCTTTTGGGGGGCAGGTTGCTTTATCAGCAGGAGTGCTTTACTACTGGCAAAGCAGCATTCACTTGCCCGGGTAAAACTTTGTTTTTCATGGTTTTTTTTTTTAAGTAACCAAGTGCAAGTGTAGACATACCCTAAATCTGTGACCATAGCACAAGTCACAAATTCTATGCTTCAAGCAACCTGACTGTAAAAAAGAAATAGCACCCGGCCTCCCTCCTTTGTCAAGTCCTCTGAGATTATCAGATAAAAATGTGCGCGCTCTCTCTCTCTCCTCCTTTTCCTCCTCCTCTGCATAAAGTAGCTATTTTAAGTCTGAGCATAGACTTCAGGATTTGGCTGTGATCAGAGAGGAGGACGTGGCCATACACCAAAGGGCGCGAGGTGTGTCATGGATTTCAATTCCGATATCTTGTTTTCATAGCCACCCATGAGCATCACCCCACATGAATCTACTTCTGTGACAAGGAGCGTAGTGTGAATACAAACCAGCACACTCAACCTTCATTCCCCAGACAACTGTAAGAAGGCTGAAAGGGGAAACACTGAGCACATGCACAGCTTGAACATGGTAATCTGGCTACAGACTTGGCGGGGAAAGAAGGGGGCTCCTGGGTTGCTGTGACACAGAGGAATCAATCACCAACAGCCTGGGACCTAAATGCTTTCCCTTTCACAGCTGGTGCAAACAGAGTCAAGAAGCTTCCTCAGGCTTCAAGCCCAGTGAATTACCAGGCAATCAGAGGGCTGGACTCTCTGCTCAGTACAAGGACCTGCCCAGTTCAGATGAGTTTTGCTGTTATTAGATCCATTCGTAGGGCTGCACGTGTCTCCCCAGCAAGTTTGGGCCTGATCCCAAACCCAGAAAAGTCAGTGGAAAGACTCCGAATGACTTGGCCCTTAGTGACATAAATGGAGAGTGAATACTATTCTCTGAGATTTTCCTACAGAGTTAACACCTTCCTGTGACAGAGTCGGCCTTTCCTGGGCCCCACTTGAATGTTGGCAGAGTTTCTTCTCTTCCAAAGTCGTTTCTTCTTTAGGAACCTTACTCCAGTCTTTCTGGATTTCCAGATACTGGGACCATCCTCTCAAGAGCACTTTCAATCTGAGTTTTCCTTTAAGAGAACCTATGTAGGTCTCACTTGTTTACAGTAAAATAGTGATAGAAATGTAGCTGTGTTAGTTTGGTGTAGCTGAAACAAAATGCAGGACTATGTAGCACTTTAAAGACTAACAAGATGGTTTATTAGATGATGAGCTTTCGTGGGCCAGACCCTCTTCCTCAGATCAAATAGTGGAAGAAAATTGTCACAACCATATATACCAAAGGATACAATTTAAAAAAAATGAACACATATGAACACATTTGTCCTTTTCATGTGTGTTCATTTTTTTAATTGTATCCTTTGGTATATATGGTTGTGACAATTTTCTTCCACTATTTGATCTGAGGAAGAGGTTCTGGCCCACGAAGGCTCATCACCTAATAAACCATCTTGTTAGTCTTTAAAGTGCTACATAGTCCTGTATTTTGTTTACAGTAAGTTAGGTTTGGTTAAACCTTGAGGAGGGTTTATCTTCAAATCCGCCCTGCAGAGATCAGCTGTTAGCAGGTCTGGTGAGTCCTTGTGGGTTGTGATCTTCCTCCCAGCAACTTTGCCTGTAAGTCACAGCAGCTTTTCTCCTGGTCGTTGCCCTTCCTGTGACAAGTTCTCCCTTTTAAGCTTGCTTCCCCAAGTGGAGCATGCTTTGCTTGTTAGCCATCCCTATCGGGAGCAGGAAGGGGAATGCCTTGTCATACCCCCACTACAGCTCGCTATCTCACCCACACCTCAAAATTCCCACAGAGTCAAAATTCCTACACAGGTGGTGTTAATGTGGTGAAGCCTCCGAGCCTTGTTAGCCATGCACCTGCATATCTCAGCAGCTAGCTCACTGCCACAGTGGGCTACGTCTTCCTCATCACAATTAAGCAGCCTGCCTCTCAGATGCCGAAGCAATTACTGCGGATTTTGCAGCGGCGGGAGTTTGGTGGGGGAATGCAAACAGCAGACGTCAAAGATGCTTTTGCTCCTGGTGCTACAGAATAGATGGTTTGCTGAGGCCAAGCAGTGCGAGGCAATTCTCCGCAGATGGCCATCCCCAGTAAAATGACTGGAAGGTATTGGTGTGGTTAGTTCTCAGTTTTCTTACGTATACAGGTTAGACCTCCCTGGCCTGGCACCCTCAGGACCTGACTGGTCCCAGAGGAGGCATTATGCCGGACCAGTGAAGGTGATTTCTGGACCCACTCCACTGCTCCCCTCTGCCAGTCCTGACTCAGTCACTGGCTTCCCAGACAGCTCCCCCCCTGTTGCTGGCACCCACTTCCCTGCCAGTCCCCACTGCCATACTGGGTAGCCCCACCGCCTCTGCGTGCTGAGCACTGCTGCATAGAATCATAGAATCATAGAATCATAGGACTGGAAGGGACCTCAAGAGGTCATCGAGTCCAGCCCTCCGCCCTCAAGGCAGGACCAAGCTCCGTCTACACCATCCCTGACAGATGTCTATCTAACCTGTTCTTAAATATCTCCAGAGAGGGAGATTCCACCACCTCCCTTGGCAATTTATTCCAATATTTGACCACCCTGACAGTTAGGAATTTTTTCCTAATGTCCAATCTAAACCTCCCCTGCTGCACTTTAAGCCCATTACTCCTTGTCCTGTCCTCAGAAACCAAGAGGAACAAATTTTCACCTTCCTCCTTGTGACACCCTTTTAGATATTTGAAAACCACTATCATGTCCCCCCTTAATCTTCTTTTTTCCAAACTAAACAAGCCCAGTTCATGAAGCCTGGCTTCATAGGCTTCTCTAGACCTTTAATCATTCTTGTCACTCTTCTCTGTACCCTTTCCAATTTCTCCACATCTTTCTTGAAATGTGGCACCCAGAACTGGACACAGTACTCCAGCTGAGGCCTAACTAGTGCAGAGTAGAGCGGCAGAATGACTTCACGAGTTTTGCTTACAACACACCTGTTGATACAACCTAGAATCATATTTGCTTTTTTGGCAACAG